TGTTGGACGCTAAAGCAAATGCTAATCATATAGTTTAAATAAACTCAATTCAATGACTTAAATCATGCAGAGCAAAAGATTAAAGATAATCCTTTGGCTAAAGGAACACTATACCTAACGTTGGTCCTGGAGAGGCTCCAGCTTCCCCAACTAGTACATGAGAATCACAAGGGAAAAAAGCTTGGTTTTCATTACAGTAGATTTACAGGAGATTCAGAATATATACTTAATGCAGTAGAAGCAATTAAGAAACATCTGTCAACCACGACTTGTTCAAAATATAGGGACCGATTGTAATCTCAGATAGCACTAAGTGATAAGTATATGATGAATATTGGCAAACGCTGAACTTTAACGATGACGTCTTTAAGAAAGGTCACTTTTCTGACAACGTACAGGTCCCTTGTTTAAAGTACCACTCCCCAAGATGCACATTTTTATTTCTTCCTTCTACTCATTAGAAGATCAGCTGTCTATCCATGGGTATGGGGACAGAGGTTTTTGCCATAGGAGCAACTTGCACTTCTGAAATTAGTTCAGAGTCAGCACAGACAAAAAGAAAAGCATCTGTTTCCAAGAGAGTTATTTGCTGCACTGATTAACAGCAACCTACTCCTTGCAACCTCTTGATCTAAAACCTCAAACCACATCATTAGTAACCACACATATTTGTAATAATTCTCCTAAAATGTTATAAATTGGACTGTTTTTGTAAGTTATGATGGCTGATCTCCAAGGGCTGTCTGTATACTGTAGTTAAGGGAAGAACTGATGGATTTGGAGTCCCTTTCCAAAAAGTCAAAAGTATTAATTACACAATTGCAAACCGTACAAACATTCATTTTTGTATAGATGGCAGACAGGGCTGTATTATATTGCTGTCTTAACATGAACTGAAAATATTTTTCCTGTGTTTTCCTACAAAACTCACAAGGCAGTTGTTTGCAATGTCATTGAAACAGGTGGTACGTCCGAGGAAGACTGGGATTTTCAGAGGCAAAAATCCAATTTAACTGTTACCTATCAGTTAGAGTCCTCCAAATTAACTTCTTGCTACTGACTTAAACATATGAGATACCACTTCTAATCTTTGTGTTAAAAATGGTATTTTTGACAGAAAATAAACAGTGGACTGGAATCAAATGAACCTTCTTTACCCACAGAATGAAGGGAAAAGTGAGCCAAACTTTGCACCCAGATAATTGTTCTCTGTCTAGAGTGAGAGGTCTCTAGGAGGTAGGGTTATACTTACTGTTGTCACAACTATTGGCTTTGGGTCAGAAAGAGGTCCACGTCAGAGTTTTCATTCAAATACAAGAGGAGTTTTCTTCAATGGAAACTTTTTTTTTGTCCTCTGGGATTTGATCTACAGCCAGGTTGATGAGGCACATTGCTTATGTATATAAGGCAAGACCAACTGGTTGCCACTGCTCCCTGCCAATCAATCCTGCCACATCATTACTGTACTCTACTTAAGAAAAAACAAGGACAAAGTTTCAGGTTGACTTTTTCATAGCTAATTCCTGGTTCTGCGAGAAATGCTACTTGATCTGGGACAGCATCTTTAAAGAAAGAGATGGACTGCATGCCACCAGAAATTGTGAATATTCATGCAAGGATATGTTAAAACCTGCTCCTGCAGATCCATTCCCCCTCCATATAGATTCGAAAATCCAGAGATTAATTTAAATCAAATTGGAAGATGGAGATGGACAAAGTTATTTCTGAAGGGATTTCTGTGTAGAAAATGTCCTCCTGCAGAAACCAAGCTTTGAGAAAAGACTTGTAAATTGGACATGACCTTTGTACAATTGTTTGGAACAAATGTTCTCCTTAAATTTCTTGATTAGAGAAATATCAGTTGCAAGGCCAAATTACACCTTATCTTTTTCGTGATAATGGAGAAAATAATTCTCAGAATGGAAAGGAAATCAGCTGCACAGAATCAGCTGAATCTTAGGATCCTCTAACTTATGGTGATTTAGGACACATTTTGTGCTTCAACTTTGATGACACTAAATGCAGTGTTAGGCAGGAGACTGCGGTTATTGAAATATGGCATGACTTCAAGTTATTCCAGGTTGGTCTTCTTGGTGGAGTCCAGTATTTTCCCACTGTCTGAAAACAGGCTTGGCAAATGCAAATAGTTCTCCTCTGTGTTTGTTTCTCATGTCTAAAGAAAAAGCCTCAATGTATTTTCAAAGCATGTGTACTAGGATAGTGCCTACAACACAGCCTGCCCTTCATCTTTACGATGTAGGGAAGATACAGTCTAACTCCTCTCTCTCCCTGACCCCACCTCCTCCCTAGAGAGAAGATGAGCATTTGGAGTCAAGCTTATCATTTGGAAGGGAATATTCCAAAATGGGATTTGAACAGTAATCGTTCAGAATCAAGAGGACCATAAAAGGAAGAACAGTATAATTTTCAGGAAAGTGGATGTACTGTAGTAATATATTTCCCATCCTGTTTGCACACAGGACACAAATGCAGGACTTGAGTTTTGGAAAGAAAATAAACATTCTCCATACAACTATTAAAAAAAAAACTAATCAAAAGGTTCTCAATTTGGGAGAGTTTTTTGAGTCCATCTTTTACTTCGAAAAAGAAAACACCGTATTTTACATTTAAAGCGCACCACTCATCTTGAAGGAGAATAACTCTACTTTGTCTTAAATGTTGCCAACTAGAGACATAAATCACTAGGCCTCCAGTTTAGATTTCCTGAAGCAGCTTCATTTGACTTGCGAGAAGCACATGCAGGACTATTCATGGTTTGGGCTTCCACATAAGGGGAATGATGGTGAAAGCACTCCTAAATTAATTGCCCTGAAAATGCTCATCTTGATCTGAAGTGTATTACTTGCGTTAGCAGTGCTACACCTCAGATTCAGTCAGTTGTCTATTCAGTCACTTTTCAGGGTGGAGGAGAGGGGCAGATTTTCAGTGTTCCTACCTCAGTCCCGAAGAGTAGGGAGAATTAAATTAGTAAAAAATAAAATGGATCCTCCAGTACTGGAGGTCAATGAGGACTTTTAGTCCTTCAGGTGTAATTTAACTACTGAATGGACAAGACCTTATTGCATTTTCTGTACTGAATTGATTAGATATAGACCACCAGCAAAGAGATAATTAACAGAGGGAAGTACGAAAGACTAGTAGCCTCAGATACAGGTAACTTGTTCACTGCCGGTAATGAGGGAGGTGAGAGAGAAAAGACAATGATGGTTGGTTTGTCTTCTCCAAATAGCAAGAGAAAATGATGCACAATAAACAGATAATGATGTATACAGAAAAAGAGGGATAAATGCGGCACTGCACAAAGTTAAGTCATTTATAATCAAATCTAAGTTGTTAGACACTTCTTGTCCAGCTGAAAAACAAATAAATAGTAGCAAGATAGTCAACACGATCTGTGCGTTGTTTTTTTTAAAAAAAAACACTAAAACTGTTAGGAAGTGTACATTCAGGTTACCCTACAATAGCAGGACTAACTTTTCCAGTGAAGCCTGGACTGATATACAATAAGCTAAGTATTAAAAAAGGGACTTTTCAAATATTGTTTGGTCTTTTATCTGTAAGCACATTTTAAAAAGCCAGAAATAAGCCCATCCAGGGCTTCCCTTCTAATTCTAGTAAATGCAAGTCAAAGTTAAATGTAGCTCGTCTTTCTATATCCACACAGGGCTACTATAGCAACAGACTTATTCTCTTCTCCAGAAACATATCTAGCTCCCTCGTCCAATTTATGCACACCACTTAAACTTCATGTTTTATTTTCAAAGATCCTATTAAGCTAAGGCATTTTACCTGAAATACTTATCAAACTAGTCCTGTCTTCAGCTTCAGACCATGACTACTTGCTTTCTAACTAGTTCTAGTTACTGTCACAAACCGTTTTTATCCATTGATCCATCCCTTTCTTTTTGAGACTGTATACATTTGTACAAGACCTGTTCTTTTTTCGAAGACCCCCTACATAAGCCAAATAAGAATAATCCTTTTATTTACTTATGACTACTCAATGTATAAACATAAACCTCTCCCTCATATAAACACACACCAAAACAGTGAGGCACTTTCCTCTGAAGATGTTAACATTCATACATGTGATGTAAGTTTGTCCCTCTTACACCAACAGACTGTCTTAAGCCTACTAACACCCATTCAACCGACATGGAAAGAAGTCTAAAGCTACTTCTACATAGTCCCACAATTTGGACTATGGCACATACCAGCATGCTGCACTGTAACTCCCCCATGTGGATGATGCTGTTTGGGTTAATGTAGTCCTCTAACTAGGTACCGTTCAGTTAGCACCTGCAGCTTCCACACAAGGGAGTTCCAGTACAGCATGCTAGCAGATGCTGCATTTCACACCCTCCAAGTCTTACCTGCAGGGTCATAGACAAACCCTAAGTTGGTGTAACTTACACCTTCATACATTGTCTTCTGGCTCCTTCTGTGTAACTTACACCAACTTTGTTTCTCTTACAAATCAGAAGAGAAGGTATAAGTAGATATAAAGCAGTCTGAGGGTAAGGGAGTCTAATTCATGCTGCCTTACATATCATTTCTGCACTTGGTCCACTTAATTTTCCAAACACTATAATCACAATTTTTTAAACAAAGTTTAACTTTGTGTTACTTGATCTCACCACAGTTTGTATCCTGCATTTCAACTTCAGAGGCCCACATAAAGCAGTTTCATTCATTAACTTAATTTCCTTATTGCCTTTGCAGAAATAAATGTGAAGACTTTAACCTTAAAGACAGCGAAAGACACCATTAACTAATAGTGTACTTTGGCCTAGGTCAGTCAGTCAGTCAGTCAAAAAAAGTCTGCTTACTTGTTCCACCTCAAACAATAGGCAATAAACTAATCACTCACATATGCCACTTAATTTTACTCTCAAAGCAACTTTTATTACACTCAGTGCACCAGCAATAAGTAGCAAGTTCTTTAATGTGATGACTTTCAGCATGGGCGTGGGACTCACCCCTCCAGCCTTCAGCAACTTTCTTCTGAATTCTTCGGTTGGGTTGTTGAATGTGAGCTTTTCGCAGCGGAGGTGGTTTACAGGTGGGTGGCCTTCAAGGTGCAGGAATAAGTCATAGTCAAAGCGGACTTTCTTCGGTTCTTCCTGAGGGTTGAAAATAACCAAATAGAAAAATCTACCACCACAAATAATTAGCTTGAAAACAAGTGCTACGTAAAAGAGTTATATAAAAAAGGTGTTAATTAAAATGAATGTTACGACATTTGTACTGTTCTTTTATATTAAAACTAGTGGCATAAAGCTTGCAGCAACAGTTAATATTTATGTAAGATCCTCTGTAGTAACCTGGAGTGGATTCTTCTTCATAAGCAGTAAAAAAAAAAAAAAAATTAACAGGAATAAAACTGTGACAGCCTACATACTCCTGTGTAATATCTCTGCTCATTTTGTTCCTTGTCACTACTGATGTGACCTCATCACTCAGGATCCAGACTAATCAACTAGATTTCCAAACATTCCACCACAAAATAAAATATCTTGCTCTTGCTACTGTAGTAAGGAATGATATGTTCAGGTAGTAATGACATATAGCTTTTTCCCATGTTCCCTGTACCAATATAGGGAGTAAAAGGGGGGTAAAGCCACACATGACATGGAATCACCAATGCTTTATCACTTGGAAAGCTCCTCCACCAATAAGGTTACTAATATCAATGACTAGACTCCAATCTGTAATACCAGGACAAGGCATCAATTAAGCATGTTGTAGATTTACAACTATCCTTGTATATTTCTCTCTTGGAAGCCGCAAATGGGGCAACTGCTCCACAAGAGCAAGTCTTAAGAGAAGACAACAATGGACATCACTCAACTCGCTATGCCTGCCAGTTGTACAACACAAGTTGCCAAACAATGGTCACATAAGACAGAGTACTAGTAAGAGAAATATAAGCTGTCAGATTTATAAGAGTCCTTAGCTCTCCCAAGTATAACACAGTTTCAGCATACATCCAGCATGTCTTTTTGATCATAAGCTACTCAGAGGGAGTGCTGTATTTCGGTCTCGTTCGGTGGCAAGCACACTTCGGGTGCTTAAATCATATTGAAAAAGTATTTACTTTTGACTCCTCAGGATTCAAAGGATGTGGACAGCAGGAAGCTTGAAAATCTTAATTACAGTAAAAAAATATTCAAAACAAAGATTTTAAACAAAGTCAGGTTAAGTCCTCAAAGCTGCTTTATCTCTGAACTTGAAGCAGTGACCCAGGAAAAGGAACTGGGATAAGCAGCCTGCAGTAGCTTGTTTTTGAAGACAGACAGAGGAGAGCAGTCCCCTTTAGATGAACCAGTAGCTTGATTGACCATATTGAAATGTACCACAGATGAAGACATAGAAAGGCTAATATATGGTTTCCTGGGAAAAATTATGTAAATTATTCCCCAAACTATTTGGACAGAGCCACACCATTCCCCTGGCCATTCAGTTGGTACCTGCAGGTGTGCTATATAAGCCCAAATTGAAGAAGTGAACAAACTGGAGTCTTCAAAGAATTTTGCTGAACATTTGATGACCAAAGCTTGTCACTTCAAGGCAGAAATTTACTGTAAGAAGCATCCCTAAAAGCTACAGCCATTATTTAATGGCAGCCCTGACAGGAGGGTGGAATACACTGAAACTCATTTTAACTCCTCTAGTTGGCTCATATACCCTTTTTAAAAATGAAAGTTCATTTTTCAATGTAGTTAAACCTTGGATCTAAAAGCACTTTTTAAGGGACTACTGTACATTTCTCAATTGCTGTTTACTGCACCCTCATTGCAGCTGAATATGCCATACGCTTCTCTGCATTCCTGCGATTCCTTAAAGCTTTGAATATGTTTTCTGTCAGAGGGAAGAGCATATTGGATTTTCTACCAATTCCTTTTTAGTCTCAGGAACAGGAATACTGTAATTCTTAGAGTCCAAGGTCCAGAGCAGATGGCTTCCTGCACCCCTTTCTTGTCTACATATACCTTGGACACCTTCGGAATCAGAAATGGAAAAGTTGTCTACCTTGAATGAGTGATGATCATCTGTCTCCTCTTCCTCCTCCAATCTATCCCCTCTTTCTCTGTACTGGAATCCCTGTGAAGCAGCTTGGGGGAGGAAGAGTAGCTGAGCCAGGAGAAGGTAATATTTTGGATGAAGAGACCTTCACGAATTAGAGCTGGCCCTATTTTTGTGTCTTTTTCCCTTTGTGTGCTATTGACTCCAGGAAGGGTTTTGATGCTGCATCTGTGCGAAGAACTGGCTGACCCACAGTCCAACTGCTGCTTCTTGATTTCCATGGCACCAAAACGGGGGTGAGGGACGTTTGCAAATTCCCAATTCCAAATGTTGCTTGAGAGTGAGGTGAGTTGTAATCATTGGAGCCTTGTCCTTGATTTCAGTACATGCCACAATTCCTGCTGGAGAGCTCCTATGACTTGAAGGCCTCCATATTCAGCAAAGGCAGCCAAAAGTCTGGGTGGAAAACAAAAAAAGAAATGTCGGGCGGGAAGCCTCTGTAGAGATGCTTCAATGAATCACTGTCTTCTGACTTTGAGTCCCCGGTTTTGGGCTGAACTCTGAACGGATGGGGCTTAAAGACCCAGAAAATGAACTGCTTTTCTATAATAAAGTCAGATATCCTGGAATGAACCAAGCTGCTCCCTAAAGGAGACAAATGCACAAAAATGCACCAAAAAGACAGTTAATTCACTAAATCAATTCTATTTCTTTCTCTGCTATCAGGTGAGGCAGAGTAAGCCCTACACTCCACAGATTGATACAGGGAACATTGCAAATCTTATCATTCAACACCTACTATTCAAAAGCAACAACCTAAAAGATACCTGAGCAAATCCTAAAATAGGATGAGCAGAAAAAATCACGTACTGTAACTTTGCAGAACTTTCCATGGAAAAGAACAGAACATTGTAGTGCCTACTTAAAAGCATTGCACTTATCTAAACCACATTTTAAGTGAGCAGGTTTCAATGAATACTTTGGCTACGCAAGGGTTTTTTTTAGTGCACTAGTCTTATTTAAAATTCTAAAAACATAGAGATGTACCCAAAATATATAAATGCGTGTTTCTGTTTCAAGCCAGTATGTCAAACTACATTTTGGTGAATTTGGTATTACAAGATAAGCTACAAATACTGTTTGTGTGTTTCATTTACAACAGCAGCTCCACCAAACCACATTGAACGGTCATACGTATGCAACTTGAAATACTGTGATACTTTACACTAAATTCAAGAAGCTATAGAACTTTGATTCTTCCTCTCCATTCCAACCCCCCCCACCCCCAATCCTATTCTTGTTTATCTGAAAAGTTATTAGTTATAGGGTCCCTTTCATGTATTTAATTAAAATCTTACTGTTAACTACCTTAAATACCTGCAGAAAACAAAGTATCTATCTGAAATTATACTGGGAGAAACCACAATACTGAAATCTTTGTGGAATGGCAAAAACTCTATTTTTAACCGTGCCCCTGGTAATGTTGAGTTCAAAATTATCAATATCCACATTACACTAAAAAAATTTTCCAGAGGGGATATGGTATAAAAAGGTTCCCTTTGAAGATCAAAAAGTAAACTAATGACACAAATTGGTAATATTAATTAGAACAATGGGACCATTGTAAAAAAAGCATCAAAATCGGCTTCTTTTTTTAAGCTCAAGTACCATTTTAAAAACTTCCTAAAAAACCGGTCAATTTCTGACAAAGGCTAGTTATCGGTTTTTCTCAGGTAATCCTAATTTCACAGAGCAATCTTCACAAATCACTGTGCTAACCCTATTCTGTCATTCAAATTAGCCATAATTTTTAGAGCTTGTAGTAAGTTTTTATGATGGTATTTAACAAGTTTTTTGTGATTTGTGAATTAAAATGCAAACTATCAAATAATTTGCATATTAATTTTTTTTTGCAGAAAGTGAAACAGTATCAGATTACATACCTTGTTTTTGAAGTAAACCTCAATTGGCAAAATGAAACCAGCATACCCAGATTCTTCAACTTTGTAAGGTGGATCTTTACACACTGAAACAAAAAAAGAAGATCTGTTTAATACCAAGGGTCATTAGTAGTTTACAGACGATGGCAAAATTAGAATGAGCATTTCATTTAGACATGTAGGTACAGAGTTGGTCACAGTTTTCTTTTGTTTTTTACTTCCCTCTGCTGAGTTCAGGGTGCATGAGAATTGATTGATTTTTTGTATTTAAATCAGATTTTTTATTTTGTAATGTAAATTATAATAGGTTATTTCTAAAAAGAAAAATGTATTTAAAATTAAAACTGAATTCAATTCAAAATATGTTAAGGCCTAAACATATTGTCACCTCTTAAAACATTTAACGAAAAATAAATATGTTGAATCCATGAGCCTCTTATCAAAAACTTCAAGTTAAAGTTTGCTTTTTTATATAAAGAAAGAGTTAGTAAGTTTTGAGATCAAGTTTTATAAATATGGCACAATAGGTCATGAACTGTGTTAAGGGCTTGATACAATGGAGGACCCAAAGGCTGTGCTTCTGGGTGTAAGAGACTGGCAAAGTCACCAAAGGCATCGGGATCCAGCCTCTGATTCCAGGATACACTATCATGCATCTCACCAGGATCATCCACTGAGCCCATCAGGGTGGTCTCAGACTCCTATTTTATAGCTTTTCCCTACATGAGCTCTGATTAGCTCAGTTCTCAAATTATGAATATGACTCCATCCACCATGCAAAATTATTCTCCAGCTCATGGAAAAACATTGAAATTTATGTATCCAAAACATTTAAGATTGTTTTGATTACTAAAAATATATGTTATATACTGTTTATGTTTAACTAAATTCCAATTATCATCCTAATATAGTTTGACACAAATCATGAGCAAAATATTAATTATCTAGTAAATAAGCAGTATATCATTCACCATTTTCTAAAACATTTGATGTACAGTTAATAAGTATCTAAATATATTAAGCTCTATAATTGCTTTAAAATAGCTATATTGACAAATGAGAATGCACCTTTCTTTAAAAAATAACTGAAGTACAAATGGAAAGTTGATTAAAACAGTTTATTTAAATCATTAATTAAATTGCCTTGATTTAAATCAATCCACCATGGTGGAGTTTGTGAAACATCCTTTCAAAGACGGTAGAGCGACTCTCTCTGATAATTCATGTATTACTGTATCCCAGTTAAACCAAAATCTGCCACATGCTGAAAAGCCATGGTATTCTGGCATACAGTAGGCTTTGGTAGTCTCAGGAATGGTGAATTATGTTACAGTATTAGAGCAGTACATACAAACTGTACACTGTAGAGTGAGGACTTCTATCATAGGATAAGATTTACAACGCCAGTATACCGAGATAACATTTCCCCCCTACATTTTCCCCCGATGTAGTACATGTACTTTTAGTTGTGTGCAACTCCAGCAGCTTTAAACATGAGCCTTGGGACCAAAACTCTCAACTCAAGTCAAACTCTAGCCCTGACCTTTTCAAAAAGGTCAGGAGATTCAGAACCCAGCCCTCTTCTTCCCCCTGTTTAGCTGTGCTAAAGCATTGCAGAGTAAATGACATGATACAAGATCACACTAAGCTGAGAGATCTAGGGAAACCTTAACTCTTCAGAGGTGTTAAGCCAGTTCCTTAATATTACTTCAATGTTTGTACAAGCTAATGTCCTGTGTGCTATCATCTCAGTGACATGATAGGAGATTGCCAGATCCTCTGTGGATGACTGGTGGAACTAATGTGAACACATGACTTCTCTGGACCATCTGGTCTTGTTATATCAGTGTTAGCTGACAGATTGAACCTGTGTATAGTAATTCCCCAGATAAGTTAGTATCTGCTGCACTATAAGAGCTCATTTGGTATTGCTAGGAGGTTGCATTGTAAAAGGTATGTTATATGAAGTGAATGACCTTATATACCATGGTGGCCAAACTTACTGACCTTCCACATGACAATCTTCAGAAGTTTGAGAGCCAGGGCATTCCTGCTCGGGCTTGAGGCTTCCGCCCCATGAGAGGTACCTTCCAAGGCTCAAGGCTTCAACTCTGCTCCTGTTGAAACCCCGAGCCCTGGTAGGTGCGCCCTGCAGGGCAGAAGCCCCGAGAACCTCCTCCTCGCTGGGCAGAAGCCCCTACTCCACCACAAGGCAGAGGTCCCGAACTCCCCCGACCCAGTCTGGTAGGTGGAGAATGAGGGGGAAGAGGGAGCTCTGTGAGCCACACTTTAATGGTAAAAGAGCCACATGTGGCTCATAAGCCATAGTTTATAACAGACCCTGTTATATATGTGAAAAGGAAACATTTTTACCACAGATGCTGTATGTACTACTAATAAAAACCAACAACAGTGCACAGTGCACTTTACAGACATATCAGAGAGAGACAAGTTGCCTGCCCCAAATTAATTACAATCCATAGAGACAAGGTAATACCATACATTTAAGGTGCTAGCAGGTATTCAGGTGCTACAAAACCTGCCACAACTCTCCAGCTTGCACAGTGAGTGTGGCTGCTACTACATGCTAAAGTGAGTATAGTAGGTGTGTTCCCCCCGCTGCGGCCAGGCAAGCTTTGTGCCGAGGGCGATAGGGCCATGGTTCCTCCTTCTGGCCCTCCCCTTTGGGATGGCTATAGCGCTGTTAGCCCTGTGCAGCCCTTGGATCAGACTTTGTGCAGAAGCGAGGAAGATTCTGTGCACCACCACTTCCCCCTGGTGACAGGCTGTTGCACTGATATGTAGTTTACATCATATAAACCAAGGATGTAGGAAAAGGTGGCAGGAAAAGCAGCATGAACACAACCTAATGTTTCGTATGTGCTATGTTAGTTACATGGTTTTTTTCCCCCTCCAATCATTATTTAAAATGTCTTTCCATTTTCTTGGCAGGAAAGAGGAGAAATTACAGCTCATGAAAGTCTCTTGAAAGAAGTGCATTTTAAGAAGGGGTTTGAAGGAGAGGGTTAAGTAAGCCCTGGTCTACACTAGGAGTTGAGGTCGAATTTAGCAGCCTTAAATCAATTTAACCCTGCACCCGTCCACACGGCAAAGCCCTTTTTTCGACTTAAAGGGCTCTTAAAATCGATTTCCTTACTCCACCCCCGACAAGGGGATTAGCGCTGAAATCAGCCTTGCTGGGTCGACTTTGGGGTACTGTGGACACAATTAGAAGGTATTGGCCTCCGTGAGCTATCCCAAAGTGCTCCATTGTGACCACTCTGGGCAGCACTCTCAACTCAGATGCACTGGCCAGGTAGACAGGAAAAGGCCCGCGAACTTTTGAATCTCATTTCCTGTTTGGCCAGCATGGCAAGCTGCAGGTGAGTGCAGAGCTTTTCAGCAGAGGTGACCATGCAGAGCTCATGAGCACAGGTGACCATGATGGAGTCCCAGAATCGCAAAAGAGCTCCAGCATGGACTGAATGGGAGATACGGGATCTGATCACTGTATGGGGAGAGGAATCCGTGCTATCAGAACTACGTTCCAGTTTTCGAAATGCCAAAACATTTGTCAAAATCTCCTAGGGCATGAAGGACAGAGGCCATAACAGGGACCCGAAGCAGTGCCGCGTGAAACTTAAGGAGCTGAGGCAAGCCTACCAGAAAACCAGAGAGGTGAACGGCCGCTCCGGGTCCGAGCCCCAAATGTGCCGCTTCTATGATGAGCTGCATGCCATTTTAGGGTGTTCAGCCACCACTACCCCAGCCGTGTTGTTTGACTCCTTCAATGGAGATGGAGGCAACACAGAAGCAGTTTTTGGGGACGAGGAAGATGATGATGATGAGGTTGTAGATAGCTCACAGCAAGCAAGCAGAGAAACCAGTTTTCCTGACAGCCAGGAACTGTTTCTCACCCTGGACCTGGAGCCAGCACCCACCAAACCCACCCAAGACTACCTCCCGGACCCGCCAGGCAGAGAAGGGACCTCTGGTGAGTGTACCTTTTAAAATACTATACATGGTTTAAAAGCAAGCATGTTTAATGATGAATTTGCCCTGGCATTCGTGGCTCTCCTGGATGTCCTCCCAAAGCCTGTGAAAAAAGTTTCTGGGGAGGGCAGCCTTATTCCATCCACCATGGTAGGACACTTTACCACTCCAGGCCAGTAGCACGTACTCAGGAATCATTGTAGAACAAAGCATTGCCGTGTATGTTTGCTGGCATTCAAACATCCGTTCTTTATCTCTCTGTGTTATCCTCAGGAGAGTGGTATCATTCATGGTCACCAGGTTGAAATAGGGTGCTTTTCTTAAGGGGACATTCACAGGTGCCCATTCCTGCTGGGCTGTTTGCCTGTGGCTGAATAGAAATGTTCCCCGCTGTTAGCCACGGCGAGGGGGGGAGGGGCGAGCCACGCACTGGGGGGAGGCAAAATGCGACCTTGGAACGAAAGCACATGTGCTATGTATGTAATGTTAACAGCAAGGTTTACTGTGAAAGAGTGTAGCCATTGTTCTAGAAAATGTGTCTTTTTAAATACTACTGTCCCTTTTTTTTTCCTCGACCAGCTGCATGTGTTTCAAGGATCACAGTATCTTCTCCTTCCCAGAGGCTAGCGAAGATTAGAAGGCGAAAAAAAACGCACTTGTGATGAAATGTTCTCTGAGCTCATGCTGTCCTCCCACACTGACAGAGCACAGACGAATGTGTGGAGGCAGACAATGTCAGAGTGCAGGAAAGCACAAAATGACTGGAAGGAGAGGTGGCGGGCTGAAGAGAGGGCTGAAGCTGAAAGGTGGCGGCAGCGTGATGAGAGGAGACAGGATTCAATGCTGAGGCTGCTGGAGGATCAAACTAATATGCTCCAGCGTATGGTTGAGCTGCAGGAAAGGCAGCTGGAGCACAGACCGCTGCTACAGCCCCTGTGTAACCAACCGCCCTCCTCCTCCTCAAGTTCCATAGCCTCCTCACCCAGAAGCCCAAGAACGCGATGTGGGGGCCTCTGGCCACCCAGCCACTCCACCCCAGAGGATTGCCCAAGCAACAGAAGGCTGGCATTCAGTAAGTTTTAAAGTGCTGTGT